CTTATCTCTTGATTACAGGTTGTAAGAGTAATTGTTTAGTCAAAGAACAAAGGTTTTTTTTTTTACTGGGAAATCCCGTCCACTCTTGCTCCACCTCTTTCTCTAAACTTCTCTGAAATTGAAATGCACTTTGTATTCTGTTGTTGTGTGTGCTTGTGTCGGTCACCATGTGAATATATATGCAGTTATATTATGCTTTGTGTCTCATGCATTTATTTTTCATATTTGTCATGTACAGTATTTTCTATCATGCCATACACCCATGCCTCTCTCATACATGTTTTCACTCTCATGCCCATATGATAGCTGCAAAATATTTCTTCCATGACCTCCATAAAGTAATACAACACTCAGTAAAACGTGGTCACTACTTGGAAGTTGTTGTCTCTGGATATAAAATATGTCCTGTCAGTTGTTCCCAGTATACCCAACCATCTTTGCACCTTATCCTTCTTTTTCTGCAGGATATTGGGAATAACGTTACTTTAATGTGATAACTGGATCTGAGAAGCTTTTGGGAATTGTATTTTAGAATCAGCTCTAACTACATGCATTTGCCTGTTTTCTGTTTTTTATGTTCTTTTGGCTCTCCGCAGAGAGGCAGTCTGACCCTTCTCCTCTGTGGGGAGTATGGCCTCGTCTGGGCTCTGGAGCAAGTTTTCCAGCACGGCTTCAAATCACCTCGACTCTTTAAGAATGTCTTCATCTGGGACTTCTTGGGTAAAAACTTTATATTATTACTCCTTACATTACTCAAACCCTTAAGGTGATATTCCACCCAAAATCTAAATGCTTTGACTACCAAACACTTGTCGGTTACAGATGGATTTTTTTTTTTTTTTACAGCAATACAGATGTTCTTTTCAGCTTTTAAGCCTGGCATGTCTGTCTGAAACACGAATTTCAATAAATAAATAATATGAACATCTCTGTAATCACTTGTTAACTCATTTGTATTTTAATTGTTTTTTGCTTTAACAGAAAAGTCACAAGTGTACTTTGAAAGTGCGGAGCAGCGGGAGGTGACTCTAGATGAAAACTGGCAAACCAGAGTGCGGCACTTCTGCCGCTTCATGCGCGCCATCAACAACACGTCCAGAAACATCGGCAAGGACGGGAAGTTCCAGATGCTCGTCTGTCTGGGGGCAAGGTATGCCGGCAGCGCTCACTAACCTCCCGACACACATTTAGATGTAGTAGACATGTTTACCGTTTGTTTTGTGTGATGAGGTTCTGTCTTCAGAGTGGATGCAGTGACACTTAGTAAACACGTAGTAAACCCAAGATGACTGGTTACCTTTTTAAGCTGACCAGTCACAGCTCTTGTGGTCCCCACATGGTATCTCCAAAGCCACAACGTGTATTTACATTTTTGAGGAGGTGCGTGTAAGTTACGTCTACATGCATGATCAGTGTATCTTTGTCATGAACCCTTACAGCCATAAATCAAGCCTGGTTTCCTTTAAGTTCATCCTCCCTGTTGATGAGTGTATGTGACTGTGCATTTAAGTGCACAGTTATGCAGTGATTTGTATGTTGATATACAACTGTGTTTTTATCCATTTCTATTTTTGACTCCTATACAAAATAGCAATACTGCAACAATTAATTCATCGAGTATTCAATCAAAAGAAGATTCAGTGCCAACAATTTTTAGAAAAGATTAACTGTTGTCAAGGAAAAAGGCCAAACTTTCACTCATTTCAGCTTCTCAAATGTGAAGATTTGCTGCTTGTCTCTGTTTCACATCGTTGTAAATATATATAGAACAAATATATTTGGGTTTTTGACTGTCTGTCATAAAAAATGAATGCATTTGAAGACATTTCCTCAGGTTCTGTGACATTGTGATGAGCATTTACACTATTTTCTGACATTTTATAGACAAAATGAATCAATTAATTAAAACAATAACAGCAGATTAATTGATAATGAAAATAACCATTAATTGCAGTCCTACACAATAAAACGCACTTTCAACAATCCTTTTTAGATGAATAGATTTCTAACTACAGTATAATGTAGTTTGTATTTGAAACAATTGTTTACAGTGCCACATTATTTTTATGGAAAATTGCAACATACAGTAACTGCTGCCAGTCCCTAGTGTTAAGCTGTTGTGTTGACGTGTGTCTGTGTCGTCTTCTCTCAGGGACCATTTGTTGCATCACTGGATCGCTCTGCTCGCAGACTGTCCAATCACTGCTCAGATGTACGAGGACATTGCACTGATTAAGGACCGCTCATTGGTAAACTCTCTGATCAGAGTACTACAGACTCTACAGGATTTCAACATCACTCTGGAGGCTTCACTCGTCAAAGGTGTTGGTATCTAAACCGAACCAACTTCCCACCAGTTGTACCTTACCATGGAGATTACTGGGGGACCCACTAAAAAGAATAACCGAACCTTTTTATATGCAGGAACTGACTTGAACAAAAGACATTTTCTGGCTTATATTAAAGCTACTGTTACATTTGCCATATATTAAGTGCAATGAGCCTTTCAAGATATGTTGTTATTTTTATCCTCAATGATGTTGCCATTAGATGTTAAAAATAAGTTTTCTATTATGAACCATGATTTTCACATTATTGACCTACTTGTGCTATAATGTTTTATTGAAAGCTAAATATTTTCATTGTTATCGTGAACTGCAGACAATGGCTATATTTAAGGGAAAGTGAGGATCAAAACTGTTAATATATTTTCAGAGAAAAACCGTATTATTTTGTTAAATCAGTCAAGTTGCTTGCTCTGTTGTCAACTCAGATTCCAATGTCATTACGCAGAGCTTAAAGCAAATGATGTAGAAGTATGCTTTATAAGTATGTGTGCGACAGGGGGGTTGTAGTATGAAAGATGATTCACCTACACAGAAATAGAAAAGGCTGTTAAATGGGGGCCTTTCCTTGAGAAATGTACTAGTATGCAGATCTTTTACATGGATTACCTTCAGCAGACAAATTATCCTTGCATGATAATAAGACTGTGTGGGTTAAGTGGACAGTACATGGACAGTATATTCAGTTGTATAGAGGAAAATACTCCAAGTCCTGCAAGAGATGTTTGACCCAGCTTTCTGTGCAAAGTGGATCACAATGATAGCCTTCATGTAAATACCTCCAACCAGCCCCTTCCCGAACCTTACCATTATCCCAGCCCTTACACTACATCTGCCCTCTTCTCTGAACAAAAACAGCGTGATAATCTCTGTAGACTCCTCATGATACAGGATGATCTCCTGCTTCCCGTGTGAGGACATGGGAAGAAGAAAAAAGGACAGCTCTTTCCCCACCTCCTGATTTTGTCATCATGGTTTCTTGCTATGCAATATCCACAAGAGAAAATTCAACCCCTTCAAAGTCCATGTCGGGGAGTCTTGAGGTATTACCGGGCCCTCCTCCATTGCATACATTGAACTTTACTGTGCAGAACAAGAGATTTGATATGTGAAGGACGTCTTTTCTGTGCCAACAACGTCTGGAATTACTGTTGTACTCGTCTGTGTACGGCCCACACATGAGCATCTTGGGAGATATATATTTTTGTTTTCCAATACGGTTGTACATTTATTGACATAGCTGTGTAATGTAGTGTTTACTAAGTGAGCAACAGTGTACAGTGTAAAAATATATTAAGAATAAAGACTCTGTAATGCGTTGAAGTGGATTTGTTTGTGTTCGAATTAACCACTTATTCATTAATACATTTAAATGATCTGCTGATTGTGCTTTCTCCACTGCAAAAAATGTAGTTATCTTAAAGAAATCACTGGTTTCAACTTCTTAAATGTGAACATTTACTTGTTTTATTATTTTTACTTTAGTGATAGTAAGCCAAATACCTTTGACTTCTGGACTGCTGGTGAAACAAAACTATCAATTTGAAAATGTGGGGAAATAGTTTCTTACATTTTATAGACCAAATGAATAATTAGATAATGATAATAATTAGCAGATTATTCGATAATGAAAATAATTGTTAGTTCAAGCTCTAAATCATATCGAAGCTGTTTTTATTTGCTCCACCTCGTATTTATTAACAGCAAAGCATCCCATCAAAGTCTTATCAGGGTCATTTTTTTTTCAAATAAATCATAGTTGAAAAGTACAGCACTGATTTGTTTGTATCAGCGTTAGCAAGCTGCTCATCAATAGATTTATATCATCTGCTGAATGGGCTTTCTCAGCTGAAAAAATGTCAACAAACTCTTTCGCGCCATGTCACATAGTTGTTTTTCTTTAAAGCCTTCGGGCAGGTGGTTTATGGGACTTTGAGTTTTAAAAGAGGCCGTTAACAACAGTGACGGCACGGAGATCTCCCGCTCGCTCACTACGCCTCCCATCATTCATGTCTTCTGAAGAGTACGCGAGGATAGCAGTGATTGGTTGAATCCCGGTTCAAACCCAACGGCTGCACTCCTTATATGGTCATTGTACGTTCGGTCCTTTCATTCCGTCTTTTTATGCTAATGTATTCTAATGACCAGCTGTATGCGTTAGTAGTACAGAGCATGCGCAGTGTGTGAAAAGAATACGGCGAAGATTCAAAGTTTTTGTTCAGTAAGTGCACTCTTATTTCTCTTGTACAGAAATTACATTTGTGATTTTTTTTTGCGGGTTTGTTATGTGTGAATAGTCCGACCGTAATGTGGCATTATCGTAACCTGACGCGTGCGGTTCCAGTTGTTTCGAGCTAAACGTACAAAGACGACCCGACAATGGTATAACGTGGAAGTGAACGAGAGCGTGGCGTGGTAATGGTAGCAGACTCTGCTAGCTAACATGCTAACAGCTAACAACAATGAACCATATTTGGCGCTCTAGCGGGCAAAAGTTTGAGGTTAAAGGGAAAAGATGGGTTAAACGCGTTTTTTCATTAAAATACTGACAACATGCATGCCTTGTACAAAGTTGATAATTGTGTGTTTTTGGGACACGCGTGTGTTACACATAATTCAACGAATAGCCCGGTAGCTTTTTGTTTCTTCACTTCTCAAGCGCTGCAGCTGCCCGCTTTTTGTTTGGAGTTGTCGCTCCATACAAATCCACGACTGAACAATATCTTAAATGAACCGTGTGTGTGCTAGCAGATTCACTAAGTTCGCAGTTTATTGACGAGTGTTCAGTAAATAAACATTGGCGTCAGTTAACGACAGAAAAACGCTGTGTTGTGGGTGTAACGTGTGAGATTCACGTACGATAACCGTGCAACGTGTTCGAAAGTTTGAGTGCATCAGTTGTTTCTGCATCAAATGTAACAGATTTGTACTTTTTGTATTTTTTTTACAATACAAATACATTCTTAGAGACAACACAACCAATAACATCGGGTTATAACGTTAGTGTAATCTCAACCTTGTCTGTTTTTTGGTGTTCACACAACTCGGCTTTAAATGAGAAAGATACCTGTGTGTTGTTGCTTTAGCCAAAGTTAATTATGCATTTTCAGTCGTTTGTGCACTGTAGATATACTTCACTGCGAACTAAGAAGAGGTGGGTTTCTTACAGGACGTGTTAAAATTTACGGGCTAAGAGAGACTTGCTTATATCTGCGCGTGTAGGGACCGCCCCCTTCTCAATAGTAGAAAGCACAACTGTCTGCAGACGTCCACGGCGCTCATTATTACGGGGACTGGGAAAATTACCGATCTTTGTTTTCCGTTTTCAGGTTTTCCCCTATAACATTGACCAACAGAAAGAATATGTTTGGCTTTCATAAGTCAAAGATCTACCGGAGTAACGACGGCTGTTGCATCTGCAAGACCAAGTCCTCCAGTTCACGCTTCACAGACAGCAGTCGCTATGAAGAGACGTTCAGCCTCTGTTTTGGGTAAAAGCTCTCACTCATTCATGTGTGTTTGTATAGTGTTAATGTTTGCTTGTGTGTATGTGTATAGGTGTTAAACTTAAGCAAAGACACTTCTCACTGTGTTCGTGTGTTCCATTAATTTTGTTTTTAAATGATCTTTTCTTTAAGCCTGTCAGAAGATCGTGTTGGAGACATTTGCAATGCCTGTGTGCTGCTGGTGAAGAGATGGAAGAAGCTACCTAATGGCTCCAAGAAGAACTGGAACCATGTAAGTCATGTCTGCTTAATTTACAATTTGTCCAAGTTGTCATGGCGTGGCTTCAAATTGACTTGGATTTTTTTGCCTCACCTGACTCAGGTGGTGGATGCCAGAGCTGGGCCTGGCTTCAAGGTGACAAAACCCAAGAAGATCAAGAACAGTGATGGGAAGAAGAAAAGCAAGTTAAGGAAGCTTCACAAGTTAAAGAGACAAAGTAGGTTTATATCTACTAACTTGCATGTGATTTAGAGATGTGTTATTGTATTATAAGTGTATTTGGAGCTAATCAGACATGGGATATTTGTGTGTAGCGTGCTCATGTGAAAATCCCTGAAATCGGGGTCACACATGCTATTTCACTTTGTCTTTCTTGTAGTTTAGTTAGTATTGTTTACTTAAACAGCCTGATTTAAAAAAAACAAACAAAAACCCCCCCACAATTTTCATAAAATGAATTGGCACGGTTTGGGGATTGATACATTTTTGTATGTAAAGAAAAAAAATCACTGATTCCGACCTGAATATTTTGAGTTTTTCTTAATCTATAATAATAAACTGGGTTTTGGTCTGATCCAACAACCAGTTTGAATATGTCAACTACTTGAAAAGTAATTGTTAAAACTGTAGTCAGGTCAGCTATTGTCAATTTCAGCAAGTGTTTCTTTTGGTTTCCAAGCAGACTCAGATGCCCACAGCACAACCTCCAGCGTGTCTCCTGCGCAGTCCCCCAGTTACAGCAACCAGTCGGACGATGGCTCAGACATTGAGTCCAAACAAAGACGCACGACTCCCTCCATCTTCTCTTTCTTGGACCGCTCTTACTGGAAAAGGCAAGCTACTACTCTCATTGAACACCTTTTTGTGTTTGACAATATGAAATAAAAAAACTTTTTAATATGACGTTTAACTAAAGGGCCCCCTCTCTCCCCTTAGGCAAAAGGTGTGCTGTGGGATTGTCTATAAGGGGCGGTTTGGAGAGGTGATTATTGATCCTCGTCTCTTCAAGCCCTGCTGCAGTTCCAAAAAACAGAAGACCCTGGCATCTACACAAGTGGCCACACACCTTCCAGACACACTTCCTCCACAGCTCCCTGAAGATGCTAAAGAAACCTGGTGACTGCTTTTGTTGAATCTCCCCCTGTAGGGTTATCCATGGTATCCACCTGGATTTGTCTCCAGTGGCAGACCTCCCCATCTCCACTCCCCCAGTTGTATCGGTTAGATTTTTCTTTTCTATGTAATAATCCTATTTTTTAACTTTTGTATAGAGTTGATTTTTTTCTTTTTTTTTTTATAGAAAGCAAAAGTAAAAAAAACGTGTTATGGGCATTAGTGTTATTTATAGGATGAGGAAGAAAATTTTGTTGAGGCTGACTTTCTGATTCTGAATTGCTTTTGGTTATTTTGTTTTAAGTGATGTTTTGTAAATATATTGTCACTTTTTTCATACATATCAAGACTGTTCTATTTTTTTTTCAGAATTTGTTAAATTGTAAGTGTGCAAAGACACAAGCTATTTCTAATACCAGCTTTTTTATGTGTGCGTTGGAGTGGCTCTTCAACATGTCGCTGCAATGTTGTCTTATCTGTTTGCTCCATATGTGCTAATGTGTGAGTCTGTAGGATCTAAGAATGGATGTTGGTTACACCAGGGAATATTGGTTCAACTGTACAACTCCGAATTTAATTAACTTTTAAGGTGTGCATAAGAACAAATCTCTCTGACATTTTCACAGCTTAAGCATGCCACAAATTTTAAACACTCCACGCATGCAGTACATTCCTCTGTGTTTTGGAATGACAAAAGTGATTTTATTTATTTCTTTTGTACAGCCTCCAATGAAATGACAATGCATGTTGTAAAGCAAATGTTTTTTAAAATGGATTTTGTAAATAGTGTTTTGGCTCTTGGTACATCCAAACCCTTTTTAAATGACAGAATGGCAAACCACTACTTCTGTTTTAAAGAGAGAGAAAAAATTTGTGTCTGAAAGGTGCTGAAATATGTACTTGTATGCTAAGCCAGTTAAGTTTTAGCACATTTTCACATCTAATTTTCTGAGACGCATTTCTCTACAGGTGTGCAAAGCTGTAGCCTATGCTCTGTTCATAAGTATGTGCAAACTACAGGGAAAGCTAGATGCTTAATTGCAGTATCAGTAGGCTGCAATATTCCTTGCTAATGGCATAAAGTGGTCAGAAGCTGAACATACAGGAAACATAACCTATGTTTGACGGTTACTTTACATTTTTGTCAGAAAAATGCTGTTAGAGAAAATGAAATTGCTTCTCCACAGAAGCAGTTGTCAAAGTTAAAACTATGCAGACATGTTGAATGTGAGAAGTGCTCTGGGGCTTTCTGTCACTTTTGCAAAGATAGTATAAAGTGATGGATCCTTATTCAAACCAAATTGGCTTATAAAATGCATCCATTGTTTCAACAATAATTTTCCTAATCACAATCCATAATTGTCAAGATATTTCTTGCGTATTTCATTTTTAGCCATGGTGCATACTGTCTCAAATGAATACAGCAGTGACAACGGTTATTGTTTTTTTAATCTTTTTGCATTATTGTGATTAATCTCAAACTTCAGTAATTGACAGGCAGTATTCTGTAAAATTGCTTAATATAAAAATGTTTCTGCGGCAGGGTAGTTAAATGCTGAACATGTTTTATGATTCTTATTAAAAGGAGTAATGCTGCTCCCTTTTAAGCAGGGAAATAAGCTTGTTTGTCCTTAGGGAGTTGCCATATTGTTTTTGCGAGGTACATATTTGGGATGTGAGATGTGCCTTAATGAATTACCTGACCTTTTCATTATGATTATCATGTAATTTATATTTATTTATTGCAAAACTTTTTTTACTGAAATTTTGATTACTGGTGGAGAGCCTTTCAGAAAGTATGTTATTAATTGTGCACTTCCTTTGAACATGCAAAGTAGATTTTTTTAATGCTTTTTTTGTATACTGTATCACAAAGTAGATCTGTATTGTAATAAAAATAAAATGACAATGGAAAAAGTATGCCTGTGAGATTTGTCTGCAACGTTAGGTGGCGCAGAAGAGCTGCAGAGATGACTGTTTTCAACGAGGTGATGCTCATTGTACACACCAGTGTGGAAGAGTTTGGTTTGATTTGATATAGTGTGTTCACTATTGAATACCGTTTATTTATATATACAAAAATCTCCACAGTATTGAGATAGGGTTACACATTTTGACAGCTGAACACGAAATCAAATTAAAAAATGTATGGCCCTCTGTAAAAAGACTCGGTTACACATTTGCGACCCCATCTAAAAACTGTGGAGGCACCCTTTTGGGTAACAGCTATGAAAACACAATTAGCGTGCATGACAACTTTATTGTCCTAACAGAGGCAGGGAAAGAGTATTTATGTATGTGATATCATGGGCAATTTTGACCTATATTGTGCATCTCCTCGTCATACTTACTATCGTACAAGTTCCCCATCCACAAATCGAAATTTACTGGATCCAAACCCTGCTTCAATCGGTTTACTGTTGAATGGGAACACAACAAATAAAAGAGCCATTAAAATATTCTAGTATACTGGAAGAACTGAATTTAATTTGACATTCTGGTAATGTAGGATGTATTTGATTAATTGTATCATTTGCATTTTTGTTGTTGTAATGAACATTTGCATAAAAAACAATTTATTAGCTAAGGTATGACAGAACTTAATCATGTTGACGACTGTGAAAGCGGCCACTTATATTGGGATTTAAAAAATATATAAATATCATACATTTCCAAGTAGTCATTTGGTTTAAAGGGTTTGAAATAGTAACAAAACAACGTAGCCTATAAAAGCAAAAGGCGGTGTGACAGTAAAATCTGTGACCCATCTGATTCGACCCCAATTGGAAAGCAGCCTATTTCTAACCCTTTTATATACAGTCAGTGTTTCTAACACGTTGTTGATGTTTTGAAGCGGTCGCAGTTTGGTTAGTTTTAGGCACCAAAACGACTTGGTTAGGTTTAGGAAAAGATTGTGGTTTAATGGTTAGACACAGCTCTGCTGGCTCACAGAATTTGGTGCAACACCTGGTGTTTGGCGTCACAGAATCTGATGGGTCATAGATTTTGGTGTTAGCTGCCGTTTTTACTGCAATATAACATTTTTTACCAAGTGTGTTTGGCTAACAAAATAATCATAAAAATGGAAACATCCTTCACTTCAACGGCCTAGTCGCTATGGAAGGCCCTTGTAAATTAATAAACGCGAGTTGCCTAGCAACCACGTTGTTTCGCTAACAGTAATCGACATGATTAAATAAGTTACATCATAAGTACTCTTCCAGCTAGTTAGCTAAGTCAGCTAACCACCGGTCATTGACAAAAACCATTCATATTGCGTGGTTGTATTATGTAAATTAGTATTTGGTCTATTTTATCACAGAAGTTTGCCATGGTCGACTTTGAAACTGACGCCAAAGGCAATGTTTACATAGTTCGGACTTTAAAAGAACTCAATCAGTTCAGATTTACCAAAATACACCGGGCCATAGCTTTCAAAATAAAAGCATCTAAAGGGCACTGCCGTTGTAACGTTTTACGCAAACACTTGGCTTTTCCGGTTTTGCAATGGCTATCTGACTAACTTGACGCAGCTCTGCTTCAAAAGCGGATTTTTTTCACTTTTGCGTGTACACGCGCGCGCGCGCTCTCATTCTCCCTCTCTCCAAGACACACACACACACACACGCACACACTTACTCACTCCTTTCTCTTTTCAAAATCCCCTTGTGAAGTAGATTGACAGACTAGAATGAAAATGAGGCGGACGCTCGGTCACGACTTCAGTGCGTACGCGTCCTTTTGAGCAGACCTCTAAACTTGGATCATATCACCATGGGAGCTATTTGGGCTGCAAGGGACTTTTGTTTGTTTTTGCTCTTGTTAAATAGTCGCCAAAGCGCAGCGCGTCCAGAGATTCGAGGTGGGACTGTAGTGAGAGTATGTGTGCATGTGTGTGTTGGTGTTTTCCAGTCGAGGAGAGTGCTAGCCTACTTTACGCACGCTTTCAGGAGTGCGCTCTTGTTGTTTCCCCAGCGGTGACTTTTACGTTGTCTTTTAGTTTCTAAATGTTTATCTGATATAAAAATCACCGTTGTTGAGGGGGATTTGTGTGCTCCCTGTACACACAAGCTTGTACAACACGTTTTGTTTTGTATGTAACTAACGTAGTTTTCATTGGATTTTTCAAATTGCCTGCTGCCGGCTACTATGATTATGAGGGGAGTTTATGTTTTAGTGTTTACAGTCAATTAAAGCTGAATTTTCTTGCTCATCTCCTTTAGTATATTCTCACAAAACATGGCAGTGCATATATGGTAAATGTGTGGTATGTATGGTAAATATATGGTATTTGAATGTGTTTTTGGTAATCATAAGACGCATATGGATTTCAGCAGATCCATGTGCAGACGGGAGCGATGGCTGTCACATTGATGCTATTTGTCAGACTACCCAAGGCTCATATAAGTGCACCTGTAAAGCAGGCTTTAAAGGAGATGGGAAACACTGCGAAGGTAATGTGTCTCCTTTTTGTTGCGTTATTTTATGCACAATAATATCTGTTTACTGTCAAAGTTGAATCACTTAATTTGGATGTTTAGGCATATATTTTAATGCAGGGTTGCATTTGGACAGATTATATAGGCTATCTCCTATACTAACTACATGTTTTTAATTTACATATCATAACATTATTTTATCCATTGTGCCATAACATTTGAATTCCTATAGAGCATACAATTTGTGATATCTGTACTAATTAATTAATTAATTAATTAATTATATTAATTCTTGCAGTCAAGTTGTTGTTCTTACTGTTAAAGAAAACAAAGTTTCGCATACTTTTGACTAAGGGAAGATTCATTTATGTGGTGTTTACTTCTCAGACATTGATGAATGCGACTTGGAGTACAACGGTGGCTGTGTACATGAGTGCAACAATATACCAGGCAATTATCGCTGCACTTGTTATGACGGATTCAATTTGGCACATGACGGACATAACTGTCTAGGTAAGATCAACTTTACACCACGAAGTAAATAACCTTTTGTGATAGATGGAGAGCCTGAATCCTCAGCTCTGATGGTGAAGAGTTCATGTTTGTGTGGGCTGTACCTGAAGTTTCTCACACTCACTCAGACTTCTTTTCTTAAGCCCTCTTTTGGTAAACTTTTAAAACTGTAGCCTAATACAAATCATTTTGGTTTTGTTAATGCTGGGATTTCAAATATTTATAAATGTTTATGTCCGGAATTTGATACAGCTTTATTTACACCTGCAATGATTGCACAAAACAGCCTTATTTGATTTATACAAGTTAAAAGCTAATTTGTGAATACTTGAGTTCTGTAAACACTGTTTAATAACCAATGCAATCAATCCGCTGTCCTGTAGATGTGGATGAATGCAAGTTCAACAATGGTGGGTGCCAGCACACTTGTGTCAACACTATGGGCAGCTATGAGTGCCGCTGCAAAGAGGGCTTCTTCCTCAGCAACAACCAGCACACATGCATCCACCGCTCTGTGGGTGAGTGTTCAACATGCACACTTCTATTAGCTTGAAATCAAAGATGTACTGCACAAGGAGTACAAATCAGAATTATTGAAGATATTCTGTCGCTCTCCCACAAATTTAAATGCTGTTTAAAATGTCAGATTTTTATTGTTTGCATTATTTGTGTGTGTGTTTGTGCATGCTTGTATCTCCTAATTGTATCAAGCCATGAAAAAAAAGACAGAATCGCATTGCAAATTCTCCAATATTCACATACAAATCTAAGATTTATTGCACAATGAGGGGTGACAGGTTCAAGCTGGCTCCCGTCACTGAGCTTTTATCTGCAGCAGCAACATGCTGTGGGAAAAGGATCTCTGTGTCCCAGAGAACAAAATAAGTTAATAACTGCAACACTCGGGTCTATGTGGTCTATGTCACAGATTAGTCTGATGTGCCTTTGTTTTGTCTTCTTGACTGAAGTCAACCTAAATGCAAGGACTTTCCACTCCATCGGGTCTTGACAACCCTTTTAAATCCTGTGGACCTATCCACTCAGCTGTGACCCATGTATGTAAATGATGCCTCAACTCTTCTCATTTTACAGCTCGAAGCATTTTTGAGTATGTTGTAGATAAAGTAGAGTTTGCAGAGCTTTGTTTTCAGGGAATTAACTTTTGAGCAACTTTTGCTCTGCTTACAGATTCTTCTTTTTCTCTCTCAAAGTGCTAAAAATAACGAAGTGGTTGATGTTTTTGGATTGTGTAAGGCGTGAGAACAATCAGTGTCTTTGAGGATGCCAGACTAATCTCTCAATATGTGTGCCTTTGTGTGCAGCCGGTCAGTCACTGTAGGAGAGTTTCATTGTGTACCTCTCTTGCTCTTTCTATCCCAGAGGGCCTCAACTGTATGAATAAGGAGCACGGTTGCGCCCACATCTGCAAAGAGACACCCAAAGGAGGTGTGGCCTGTGAGTGTCGTCCAGGGTTCGAGCTGGCCAGGAACCAGAGAGGCTGCATCTGTACGTGCTCAACAGCATGAACCTAACTTCACACTACACACCTACCAAATGTGTCACGCACACACAGTTGGCTTCAAATGTTGCACTGATTTAATTTCTTACGGTTACATGTCATTGACCCCTGCAGTAACTTGTAACCATGGCAACGGAGGCTGCCAGCACACCTGCGAGGACACAGAGAGCGGCCCCATATGCAGGTGTCACGTCAGGTACACCTTGCAACCTGACAAGAGGTCGTGTATAGGTAAGCACAAGTTTTTAGACTCAGTTCGTGCTTAACACAAGGAATGCAAAAACGTGTAAGACCCAATGCAGAAGTCAAACTTCTGTGTGTATTAATACACAGTCATTTCAAACTCATGCTGTGCAGCAAAACGTTGTTTAAACTCACACAACATTATTGCAAATTCTAAAGATATCCAAAAGTCTCCAAAGATGCAAATATGTCAAACTGAGTTT